AACATGAAAGATAGTCGGAGTCAAATTTTGGGTGTGGATGGGAATGGGGGTGTGGGTTTCCATGAGATCAACATTAACAGTCATATTTCACAACCACACCCACAGCCACCCACACTACACCCACACCCAAAAATTGATTATTCTTTTGGTTTGCTGCAATATTTTTTCTCAAAACTTACCTCTTGTTTCATAGTCTTAAGATTAAATATCATTCTTTATTGTTACTCAATATCATGTAAAACTTCACAAGTTTAAAATCAATAGAAGTTCTATAACAACTGAACATTAAAATATTGATTATTTTCTTGCTCATAAACGAACATGAATATATCGATATTGAGCGACATCCTTTTAAAGAAGAAAACAAAAAAAAACAACATATTTCATGATGGACTTTTTTTTCTTTACTAATGATCTTCTAAAGATTGAAATAGAAAGAAAAAAAAAATTGAATATTTAATACGAGTCTGTAAATCATTGTGACCGTTTTCTTTTTTATCGTCCGCTATGCTGATACAAATACATTATCAGTCTATTTTTCTCATATGCATATGTTGACGATGCTTGAGCATGTATATAAATATATGTTCATCAATTTGTTCTTCAGTGATTTTTCTGTTTCGTGAGATTAAATTATTCGTCAATCAACTGTTAAAATATCTCAACACCTCGATAATTGTGATGGCCGAAAAACAAGTATTTATTCATGGAAAAAATTAATTTTTTATTTTCGATTTTTTATTTTATTAAATAATTGTTTCATTCTACGTTTTAGGATGATATTGAACAAGTTAAAAAAATCAAGTATGTTGAACTTCTTAATGAATTACAAAATGGAACTAAAACTTTACAGCAATATGAAGCAGAATTATTCAAATTATTACAAAAGTAGTCGACATCATTGTTTTTTTGTTTTGTTAAAAGCTTTATTTTTGAATTAATTCAGTTAAAAAAAATAAAGTGAATTAGATTTTTGTTAAGTTCAACATGATTAATAATAACTTTGAAAAGTTGATTTTAGATAAATTAAAAAAATTATTTTCCTATGATTTCGAAAAATAAATTTTTATTCAATCATTCCATTGATGAAAAATGTCGAATAAGATAAAATTGAAAATTCGTGATTGTTATGATCAAGCATGTATCTATATATATTGCATATACATGAATCTATTCGTCGTTTATTAGATACATTGAAATTCATCTTGAAAAAAGTCTAGCAGTATTTTATAAGAAAATAGCTCATCAAAAACTACTTAGTAATATGGTATGAAATAGTGATATTGGATAGAGCGAATATATCTAACATATTTTTTCTGTAGAAAACTAATTTTTGTAATCATAATGTCAATCTTATAATAATAACTTATTACTCAAGGAATTTGTAGAAGTTTTCACCAATTGACACAACTTCTTTATGTTGCAGATGACTAATTCAAGAAATGAATGTTTGATCTTTGTCTAATATATTCTTTTTTGCCTCTTAAAATTCGAAAATCTATCATACTAGTGTGGGCGTGGTAATCAACTATCGATAATTGCAACTATGGAATGATCGAAGTGAAACTAGATTGATTTTACCCTGAGTAAAGGAATAAAGAGTTACTATACTTAAGTGAGACTTGTATTCTGAGAATTGGTTAGATTCCTTATACTCGTGATGATTCTAGCCACTAGAACAATCCATCTGATTACTTCTTATTAACGAAATATTTGTTCAGAGATTCTGTTTTGCGTCATGATGGATACTGACAGACGATGTTACTCACATGAGTGTGGTCATGATTGAAAAATAATAACAAAAACATTGTCAAAATTCTATAAATTAAGAATTAATATAGAAGTCTTTGTCAATAATCATTTTGTTTAAGAATGTAAATGATTATGTGAAACAAAACTTTTTCTTGTTTAATTTATAATAGTATTTCATTATTGTCATACAGAATGAAAATAATGACTGTTTGTGAAATTAAAACACTTAAACAAAAGAAATTGATTTCAACGGAGAAAAAGATTAATAATTGGAGAACTCTCTCATATACAAATCAAATTTAATTATGAGAAGCATTCATACTTAGAATCTTCAAATAAAAATAAGCGTCTCTGAAACATTTTTTTACATGAATGTACTCGTGGAATGGCAATGAAACAGTGATTAGCAAGGATATAAATTCATAATATTGAAAAAACAATGTTTTGTCCTTGAATATAAAAATCTAGGCTCACTAAGAATAATACTACGAATAAGATTTTATCAAACTTAAAGAAGAGTTACAAGAAAACTGTCGAGATTTCTAAAGACAAAGTACGTCAATTTTGACTTTATACAAATATGTTTATTTAGAAAAAGTTTTTGTCATGGACATGCAAGTTCATTTAACAAAAAATTTTATACAAATTAGCAAAAAAATATTTTAATAAAATTGCATTTTTCACATTAGTCTCTTTCACAAATGAAACTAAACGGATTATTCAAAATCAAAATAGAACTATTCAAGCAAACTGAAGAGCATTTTATGTTAATCAATATTGTCATTTTGTTTCATATTAACTAATTTTCTTTATTATAAGTAATGAGAGGGAAATATTAAAACAAATAGTATATTAAATAAATGTAAGATTTTCGAGCTACTTCGTAAAAATTACTCTTGACCATTTTCCAGCTTTGAAATGAACAACTCATAAATATTTTTCTAAGAGAAAATTTCAAAATTGTTTTTATTTTGTATGAATTATTGTCTGCACGAAACTTAACGGTACTTGCTTAAAAATTCAATATGTGGAAAGTGCAAGCAGCTAGTGATTCGTGGTTTGCAACACTTTAAAGAGCAGATATGACAACATCTTTTTCTTTAATCATATATGGGACCAAATCATTTTGAAATGGATGATTCCTGCAAAGTACTAAAAAAAAGTATTCAAATGATATGTCATTGTGATAAATTTTGATTTGAATATACCTCTTAAATAAAAGAACTTGAAATGAATACCTTAAGAAATAGTGTGGATGATTTCCTTCTTACATTCTAATGCTGAGCAAAATAAGTGTCTATCTGTTCGAACAAGTACATCAGAATGACAGACCATTTTTATTCATTTTTTCAAGATTTTGCAGAAATCATTGGTTGAGGGTGTGGGTGTGGGTGGGTGTGGGTGTGGGTGTGGGTGTGGGTGTGGGTGTGGGGTGTGAGTGTGGGTGTGGGGTGTGGGTGGGTGTGGGGTGGGTGTGGGTATGAATGGTGAAATGATTATCTACACCCACACCCACACTCGCACCCACCCCCACACAGCCACAGCCACATCCACAACCACACCCTCACGCCCACACCCCACCAACACCCACATCCACACCCCACTAACACCCACACCCACACCGACCACCCACACCCCACCCACACCCACACCCACCCCACCCACACCCATCCACACCCCACACCCACACCCATTTGAAGTTGAACAGTACTTCAAAGTAAGCTACTTCAAGTAGCTGAAAGTAACTTGAAGTAGCTCAAAGTAACTTCAAGTCCAAAAGTCCGCCGTTTCCCCCTTGACTTCATTTCATATTTGATATGAAAATGAACGGAAAAAAAAGGAAATAGCTTATTCGATTTTATTCAAAGAACTTTACATATTATTGATTTATTTTTGTCTTTCTATTGTGGAGTTTATTTTTCTTGCTTTAATCAATATATTTGTGTATCAGATTTAATCAAAAATATCCAAACAAGAAAAATAATAAATTCCCGAACTTCGATCTATTTTAAAAAAATGAAAGAATAAGACAAAAGATTGGCTTTGTATTTGTAAATCATTTAACTCGAATTTGATTGATTAACAATCGAACAATAAAATATGATTTCCAAAGAATTTATTATTCGAGTTGAAATTATACTTGATTCGATTGTAGAAACGACAAAGCGTTTGTTTTTCGATGAATCTCAAGTATAAGTTCAATCAATTTTTTCATTGAACAGTGAGTAATCTTTTCTTCTTATCTCAATGTATTTTCAAATGTTGGAATAGAACTCATAACGGAACTTAAAAAGTTTATTAATCATCTTTTTTTCTTTTCAGTTTGAAATGGATTTAAACGACAATTCAAGTAGTTGAGCTTCCTCCAGTTTGTTCATGAGGATACGTCATTTTTGTACATCCTCTGTAACTTCTCAATTTGCTTTCGTCGGTGACACATCGTGTTCACCACTTTACAAAGATCATCACTGAGAACATGTCGTGCAATTGTTTCGTCACTCATCTTTACGAGTATATGTTGGATCAGAGCAGTTTGGTGTTGGCGGTCGTGTCGGCGACGAAGACGACGACGATGGCGTTTTTCTTGTTTGTGTCGATCTGCATCTGACATCAAATCTGTAAAGAATAAAAACAAGTTGAACATGACATGAGTACGACGTCATAGAAGTTAGAAGATGTTTAAGTAGTTACCTGTACGAATTGTGTCTGACTCACAGGACCGGTGGCTTTCCATGATGACGAGCAGGAGGCAAACAATAATACAAAAAAAATCAAAATCTACAACAGACAAAAAGAAAATTTTTTTTATTGTTAGCTGATAAAATAGAATAGAATAAGCAAAATGATTGACTTGACTTTATGTTTAATATAAAAATGGGTATAAGAAAACGATTTAGTTGATAAATAAGAAGAGAATAAGCAAAACAATTCACGCGACATCATGTTTAATATGAAAATGTGCAGAAGAAAATGTTATAGCAGATAAATAATAAGAGAATAAGCAAAACAATTCACTCGACGTCATGTTTAATATGAAAATGTGTTTAAGAAAATGTTGTAGCTTATAAATAAGAAAAGAATAAGCAAAACAATTGACTTGACTTTATGTTTAATATAAAAATGGGTATAAGAAAACGATTTAGTTGATAAATAAGAAGCGAATAAGCAAAACGATTGACTGAATTTTATATTTAATATGAAAATGGAAGTGAGAAAACGATCTGGCTTCTAATTTATAAGATAATAAGCCAAACGATTGACTCAAGTTTATATTTAGTGTGAAAACGTGCGTAAGAGAATGAGTCAGATTATAAATGATAACAGAATAAGCTCAGAGATTTGTTCACTTCAATGTATAAGATGAAAATGTAACTGTTGAAACCAATGAGCTGGAAAAGTAGAAAATAGTGAAGGAAGCGATCCTCTCACTTTCATATAGAAGGCAGAATGGTAGGACTGAAAATGATTGATCTATGAAAATACGGAGAAATGGGTGAAAGGAGTGATCCGGTATTTTATTTAATATTATTATTAACGTAAATGAATGATTTGGCTTATGTTATAGAAAAGAATGCATACGGCGATTTATTTCTTATATATATATATGATAATAATTGAACTAGTAAGATAATTTTGTCGGTAGAAGTCAAAAGAATACCCAAATCCATTGTGCAATTCGGTAAAGGATGAGGAAATTATACTTTGGAAATGGGATAGATGAGACACCCATTGATCGCTGTAAGATGTGTGAAAAATAGTGAGTGACATAGAATGAATTTATTTATTCATACATGTTTGTATACAGTCATGATAGTTTACGAGGAATTGTTTACACGGAGTACTTTTTATGTATTAAGGACTAGTTTAATTTATAAGATGTTTAATCGTGTTAAGTATTGAAAAAAAAAGTTTTTGCTATGGGCTTACACTATGTATTTTTTTAAATTTAAATTTAGAAAGCAATTGCTGTAAAGTGAGACATGGGACAGGTAGTTGTGCGGATTCCTCTCAATTGAAATGAATACAAGTATTTGATGTTACGCAGTGGTGATATTTAGCAAAGAACTTTTCAATCATTAATATGTTGTTTTTAAAACGAGATATGTTAGTCTTAATCTTTGTAAATATTGTATAAGCTTT